GAGTTCTTTGTAGAAAACTTTACAAGATCCCTTACATGGAGCTTTCATAGACAACTGCTATATATTCCTTACCCTTTGTAGAAACCACATGGAAGCCCTGTATAGATCCCTCGTATGGAGCCCTTCTGGAAAACCCTTACAGATTGCTTATAGAAATCTTATAGATCCTCTATGTAGAGACCTTATATAAATCCATTATATAAAAAACTATAGATCCCTTACAGAGAGACTTTCTAGAAACCCATTATGGATCCCTCATATGGGGCCTTTATAGTAAGCCCGGTTACAAAGTATGTAGATGCGATGTGGTAAGCTATTCTTGATATAGTAGTTAAGATAAATCGATTGTATTATGGTTCGTACAATACCTATGAAATTACCTTTAAGAATAGAGGGAGCGGTATTAAAACCAATGAAACCGGCAACGAAGATGATGAAGATGATGAAGATGATGCAGATGATGAAGAGATGAAGATAATGGAGATGATGAAGATGATGAAGATAATGGAGATGATGAAGATGATGAAGATGATGGAGATGATGGAGATGATGGAGATGATGAAGATGATGGAGATGATGGAGATGATGAAGATGATGGAGATGAAGAAGATGATGGGGGTGATGGATATGATGGAGATGGCAGGGGGCAGGGGGCAAATGGCAAAGGGGAGGGAAAGGTGAGGAGGTGGGGAAGGCAGGGATGGTAGGAGAGGGGGCAAGGGAACAGGGGGAGGCCTGAAATGTGTCATGCTTCTTTCTGTAAGGCGGAAAAGTGACACATTTCCGGCCTGAAATGTGTCATGCTTCCTTCTGTAAGGCGGAAAAGATGACACATTTCCGGCCTGAAATGTGTCATGAGTCATGCTTCCTTCTGTAAGGCGGAAAGATGACACATTTCCGGCCTGAAATGTGTCATGCTTCTTTCTGTAAGGCGGAAAAGATGACACATTTCCGGCCTGAAATGTGTCATGCTTCCTTCTGTAAGGCGGAAAAGATGACACATTTCCGGCCTGAAATGTGTCATGCTTCTTTCTGTAAGGCGGAAAAGATGACACAAAATCGGCTTTCTGTAAGGCGGAAACGATGACACATTTCCGGCCTGAAATGTGTCATGCTTCTTTCTGTAAGGCGGAAAAGATGACACATTTCCGGCCTGAAATGTGTCATGCTTCTTTCTGTAAGGCGGAAACGATGACACATTTCCGGCCTGAAATGTGTCATGCTTCCTTCTGTAAGGCGGAAAAGATGACACATTTCCGGCCTGAAATGTGTCATGCTTCTTCTGTAAGGCGGAAAAGATGACACATTTCCGGCCTGAAATGTGTCATGCTTCTTTCTGTAAGGCGGAAAAGATGACACATTTCCGGCCTGAAATGTGCCATGCTGCTTTCTGTAAGGCGGAAACGATGACACATTTCCGGCCTGAAATGTGTCATGCTTCTTTCTGTAAGTCGGAAAAGATGACACATTTCCGGCCTGAAATGTGTCCCTAAACCCTAAACCCTAGAGCCCAAACCCTAGCCCTAAACCCTATAGCGCAAACCCTAGGCCCTAAACCCTAAACCCCAGGCCCTAAACCCTAAAGCCCATACCCTAGGCCCTAAACTCTAAAGCCTAAACCCTAGGCCCTAAACCCTAAAGCCCAAACCCTTGGCCCTAAACCCTAAAGCTCAAACCCTAGGCCCTAAACCCTACAGCCAAAACCCCAGGCCCAAACCTTATAGCCCAAATTCTAGGCCCTAAACCCTAAAGCCAGCCCATTCGAAAACCTAGCTGAACACTGGTCCCAGCCAGCGGCCCAGCCTGCCCATTCGGAAACCTAGCTGAACATTGGGGGTCCATTCGAAAACCTAGCTGAACATTGCGGGGTCCATTCAAAAACCTAGCTGAAGAGGGTGTGTGGTGGGTGGGAGGGTGGGATGGGGTGGATGGTGGGCGGTTGAGATGGGTTTGGGGGAGTGGGAGTGGGCTGGTGGTGGGTGGGGTGGGGAGTGGGGGGAGGGGGGGAGGGAGGGGAGGCAGGGGGGTGGTGGGGGGGGAGGGTGTTGGACCTAAGGTATGGGGGGGTGATCCGTGGGCCCCATCCACAGAACCCCAGGATTTCAAAATAATTGAAATAATTGAAATGGGTGCGATTTCAATTATTTCAATTATTTGGGCCCTTTGGCGGATTTAAATAATTGAAATAATTGAAATCGGTCGGATATCAATTATTTCAATTATTTAAATAATTCAAATCGGTGGGATTCGTGGCTTGGTCCAGAACAACCATCGATTTCAATTATTTCAATTATTTGGGCCCTTTGGCGGATTTAAATAATTGAAATAATTGAAATCCGAAGGTTCGATGGGCCCAAGCCACCAAATCCAGGGAATTGAATAATTGAAATAATTGAAATAATTGAAATGGGGGGGATTTCAATTATTTCAATTATTTGGGCCCTTTGGCGGATTTAAATAATTGAAATAATTGAAATCGGCCGGATTTCAATTATTTCAATAATTCAAATCGGTGGGATTCGTGGCTTGGTCCAGAACAACCATCGATTTCAATTATTTCAATTATTTCAATTATTTGGCGGATTTAAATAATTGAAATAATTGAAATCCGAAGGTTCGATGGGCCCAAGCCACCAAATCCAGGGATTTGAATAATTGAAATAATTGAAATAATTGAAATGGAGGGATTTCAATTATTTCAATTATTTGGGCCCTTTGGCGGATTTAAATAATTGAAATAATTGAAATCGGCCGGATTTCAATTATTTCAATTATTTCAATTATTCAAATCGGTGGGATTCGTGGCTTGGTCCAGAACAACCATCGATTTCAATTATTTCAATTATTTCAGTTATTTGGCGGATTTAAATAATTGAAATAATTGAAATCCGAAGGTGCGATGGGCCCAAGCCACCAAATCCAGGGAATTGAATAATTGAAATAATTGAAATAATTGAAATGGGGGGGATTTCAATTATTTCAATTATTTGGGCCCTTTGGCGGATTTAAATAATTGAAATAATTGAAATCGGCCGGATTTCAATTATTTCAATTATTTCAATTATTCAAATCGGTGGGATTCGTGGCTTGGTCCAGAACAACCATCGATTTCAATTATTTCAATTATTTCAGTTATTTGGCGGATTTAAATAATTGAAATAATTGAAATCCGAAGGTGCGATGGGCCCAAGCCACCAAATCCAGGGATTTGAATAATTGAAATAATTGAAATAATTGAAATGGGGTGGGATTTCAATTATTTCAATTATTTGGGCCCTTTGGCGGATTTAAATAATTGAAATAATTGAAATCGGTCGGATTTCAATTTTTTCTTTTATTTAAATAATTCAAATCGGTGGAATTCGTGGCTTGGTCCAGAACAACCATCGATTTCAATTATTTCAATTATTTCAATTTCAATTATTTGGGCCCTTTGGCGGATTTAAATAATTGAAATAATTGAAATCAACTCTGCTGATTTAAATTATTTCAACTATTTCAATTATTTCAAAAAATAGCAGTCATACAGAAAAGAATAGAGCGTAAAATAGACCCTAGAGGCGCCTCTCTCTCTCATATATATATATATATATATATATATATATATCTGTACCTGCTACCGGCTAGGGTGTCTTATTTCCCGGCGTGTGCATAATAACCGGGTTACTTATAAAAATACGGGCGTGTGCCAAAATACGGTTGTGACGGCTTTAACTGGAACTAGCAATGAGCTCATAAATACACACCGACTTGTTGTGAAGTTGAATTAGAGCCTTTGGGGTTCTGGATTAGCTGGGGATGGTTGTTTTGGGCTTCAGGGGTTTGGGTCTTAGGGTTGGGGCTGTATAGGGCTTGAGTTGAGGTCTCGTAGTTGGGGGCCCTTGAAGGAAAGTTTGGGTCAGGTTTAGGAGGGGGTGTCGTTGTTCCGTGAAAGACAGTTCAGGTCGGGTTTAGGGAAGGGTCTCGTTGTTCCTTGAAAGAATCTTTGGGTCGGGTTTAAGAAAGGGTCTCGTTGCTGGGGCCGAATTGGGTTTGCACCGTCCTGTTCTAATTGTGTTCGGCTTTTGTAGGGTGGAGCGCAGGTGTTTAGATCTCAAAAGCAGTGATGGAAAGACACCTACCTCAAAGCTCATTACTCAAACCTCCCCTAAACCATCTAAAAGGACTACACTGAAAAACCCGAACACCCAGAATTCGAGATCTCAAATCTTTCTGAGAAGTCTTCTGAAAGCTCCCTGGAAACCCCCTTAAAGTTTTGCTGCCTCGCTGGCGAGATGCGGATCGGACCGCTGGGCTCTGAGCTGACGACTTGTCTTCTTCAGGTTTTAGGACACCCCTATATACCCTATAATTTAGAATTTAAGGGCAATTGGGATTAGGGATATTAGGGACTCATCATCACTCGGCATCCAGCTCGACTCGAGTCGCGACCAAATACCGCTGTATCGTTCGTAAGCAGAGCTTCCGTGCAGAGACTCTGCGTGATAAGCGTGAAACGCGTCCGATGTAGTCCTCATCTTGAAACGTCGCTTGCGCTAGTGGATTCAACGTTGCCGAAAGACCAGACCCAGCTTTGGTACACAGCGACAGTGCCACATGGTGAAGGCAATGCAATTTCGGCACAAGGTTGAAGCGGCAAGTGTTGGCCTGAAAGCATATTTCAGCAGCCTTTTGATAACAGGCAAGAAAGTGCATGGCTGATCGGCCGGCAGCAGCGGCTTCGTCATTGTCAAGCCAAAGCCCCCCCCGAAGGAGGGTTCTCATAAAAAGCCCAATTGCACCAGCTGCAGATATCAAAATCGAATGCAAGCGTACGCCGCCCGGACCCCGCTGCTGCAGGACCCAGGCAGCGAAGTCGATCAAGATCGGTGTATCACTCGCTTTGCTCCAATGTCCACAAGGAAATGCGCCTTCTGATGGGAAACCGAGAAGGTCCCGCGTCAGAGAGCGGAAGTGGACAGACTTTCCACTGGACTTCAAGAAACATCGCAGGTCAGCATTCAAGTCCCCCCAAAATCGCGGCCCACACCAAGATGGTATATGTGAAGCAACACCACATGTGGCACATGGTCAAAGAAAGCCGGTACAGCATCCCATGGCGGCGGATTCTTTGGGCCAGTTGTTGAAAGCCATTCCGGATTGTAGCCCAAATTCTCAAAGTCAAACTGTGCAGAACCAGCAAGACAAAGCCAACAGCAGCCCTTGAGTGGTTTCGACTTGGGGCCCTCAGGCCCCTTGCGAATGTGTAGGAAGGTGCGGGTCAGGTGACCACTCTTCGATAAGAAGGGGAGGTCCCCTTTGAGCCCCAAAGGGATAAAGCGCAGCACACGACCGTTTCCAATATCCATGCCTCGAAAATAAAGTTGCTCGAAGTCCTTCATTGTCGCTGTGAGGAAGTTGTCGACTCTTTCAGGATTGTCTTTATATACGCTTTTCGGCATGACCCCAACCAAGAACCTCGTTGTAAAGGAGTGCCCCTTCAGATTTACTCCAAGTTTCGCAGTTGTCAACTTCTGTGGATGGGATAGACGGGTCCCCAGGCCCAAAATGGGCTGAAAAGCAATCACCATCAACTCGTCACGACGATAGGTCCTCCCACCGTCTCCATGGATATAAAGAGGGACCAAGTTGTCATAGTCCACGAAGTCGTGCTCGAACAATTCATGATTCGGCTCCTCCTTTTTGTAGTTAGTCCAGAATTCTCGAAGTCGCGAGGAGCCTTGGGTTTGTTAAAAGTCAGGGTTCGAGGGCTGGCATTCAATATAGATCGACAACTCCGAAAGCTTGCCTGTTACGGACTGATATCTGTAACTACGTTGGGCCCCACAACCTAGAAGCTTAGGTTGTTTCAAAGGCTTTCACAAATACTTTTAGTGATGTAGTCCCAACACATCCAAGACGAGCCCTGGCAATCTGAAAGGGGGCACTCTTTACTTATTTTTCTTCGGATCGAGAGCTTCATAGATATAGGCATGAGCGTTGGGGTTTGGTTTGGTGGTTAGGGGTTCCAGGGCTGATTGTCCTCTAATTACATACAAGGGTTTCCGGGACTATGCAAAAGTTCGGGTTGATAGATATTGGGGCACTAGTGGTTTGCTTTGTTCAGACGTGGTGCAGCTGGAAACAGGACCACCTAGCAGTTTGTGCAGGTAGCCCTTCTCCACCAAAGTAGCAAGATAATCCGTTGGTCGGAGCATCGGCACAGAGCACGTGTCACACAGGTCAATATATGTCCACGGCACATTCAGAGTAAGGTCCCACTTTCGAAGCATAATTTGCAATGTTTTCTCAGCATCATTCAAGGGTGCTTTAGCCATATCAGCCAAGCACGGATTGGCCTCGGTCGCAAAGGCCTTGGCAACGGTGGCCACATGCTTCGCAGAGGCCTCGGCAGAAAGAGAAGGGAATGGGTGGCTAAAGATTCAGAGTCAGCTCTTCAGTTCATGACAATTAGGCTGTATGATGCAAAGCGCTCGTGAAGGAAGCAATGTGAACGATTTTTGCACACCAGCATTCTGCACGAAACGAATTGTGATTCTGGCATATGCAAGATTGAAGCATGCATCGTCGAATTGAGCACACCACACACAACCAGAATGGTCAACAAAGAGATGCTAGTTTCGGACCCACCGAGGCAGGTCAGCTCTTGCAGCAACACAGTAGCAATGATACGGAGGATCGAACTTCGCATTGAAATGTCGATTTCGCATTCCCTCCCCACCAAGCTGGACATTGCGACATTGAAGTTTGGGCTGATAGATAGCGATGAGGGCACTTTCTAACATCTCGATCGTGGCCAGGTCATTGCTCGTGTGGATAACAAGCATCTTCGTGTAGCCATTGCTCTCGTAAAGTTGAAAGCGAGGTCCACAGTCATGGGTTATTCCGATTTTGAAAATCGCCAAAGACTCTCCACCAGTATCCCTGCGTAGCTTCTCAACACAATCCTGGCAGTGCTGCAAAACTTTCCCAGCTTGTGTGTTCTGGGATATGCAGCTGTAAGATATCCCATCCGGGACTGCAGTCAAGCTTTTCACGATTGGCCTAGTCACTGCACGAGGTGGCGTGGTTTCAAGGGCATCTTCAGATTCAGAGTCCGAGCCCCAAGGAAAAATCGCATCGATTGCTCTCTTCTGCCGCATGGCGAGGAACTACTGTACTGCCTACAATAGGGCACTAGGCTTCAATAGAACTTGGGCTATATTATACAGGTTATGTGCTAAAGTGGATAGGCTTCAGGGTAGATAGCTTAAAATTTGGGATTTAGGGATAGGGGTCTGGGGCTTGTTTGGTAACGTTATGAGGATGTAGGGAACGATCAAGCCCAACAGCCATACAAGATATGTAGAAAGCCTTGGATCGGCACAGAGCAAAAGATAACTGCAATGTTGTAATCACAATCACACTGCACCCAACTCAAGACTGCAGATCTGGTGAATGTGCATAACTTCTACAAGCGAATCGGGTTGACAGCATTCAATCCTGCAAACTACTGGAGCTGAGGCTTCAGCTCCAGTGGCAAGCGCCTTCGTCAGCGTCTCAGTTTGACGATGACTGGCACCACCCTGGATTGTAGGACCTGGCAGTGGGGAGTATATTCTTGCTACATGGTGACTGTCTGCACAGAACACTGCATCTTCACAAGGCGCAGTTAGCACCGTTTTGAGTCTCGAGTCATCGGTCTTTCCCACGCACTGCAAGCTGTCACATGCGGGCCATGTGCAACACAGATAATTGTAACCACTGCAGGCCTCCATAGCAATATAAAGTGCAGGGCACCAGGTTCCTATGGCCCATATCATACACATCAGCACACTCTACAACTCGCCGTGCCCGTGCACATTCAACTTTGTTGAACATCTGCAACCTGGCTATGACAGGCATTGTTCCAAGATGATTGGAGCCAACTCAGGGTCCACATAGTTCATGGTCCCAGCCAACAGAACCCTAATAGCAGTACCACTTTGTACTTGTTTAGGTGGTGCTGGGTTTGAAGCTTCATGTGGGGTTTGAGGGTTTAGGGTGTATAGGCCAGGACCAGGATCGGAGATTAGAGGGTTTAGGGTTCAGGCTCGGTTATGGCGTTACAGTAAGGGGTTGGTGTTCTAATATTCTGATCAATGGCACGAAGTGTGTAGAACCTGGGCTGGAAGTTTCCTACATACAGCCGAAAACACATTGGGATCTTTTGCCCAGGTGGGCTGCGTGCACACCTACGCGGCTGGCTTGGCCTTGCTCTTGGGCCTTCTGGTTTTCTTTTTGGGGTGGCCTTCGGGCTCTTGCTCTTCCGCCTCACGCTTAGCACTAGGCTTCGCCGGCTTCTTCTTCAGCTTCCTCAGGGTCAGGATTGGACTTGGTTATGGTTGTGAATGAACACGTTCTGTAGCACCCATCAATCTAAGCAGCTTGTTCTTGATCTCCAGAGATGTCGCCATAATCATCCTGACATTCAACAGTTACATAGAGTGTTGTTGTTTTCTGAGAGAAAAGAAGTTCATGCATGTTTGATTAATTATATACAAGACTCTGCCGCTTGACCGCTTCACACACTTTGGTGTATTCATCCTGCTGCCTGGGAAGCAAACTAATCTCGAAGCAGCTGAGACAATGTGGTTTCAGGAAGTAGGAATTCAGGTTTTGTAGGACTGCATGGAAGCTAGTTTTATAGCCAAGCTACGGACCTGTCAACTCCTGGACCTTTGCATCAGCTTGCAGTTTTGCAAGATCATCATAAAGGTTTCCAAGACTCTTGATCACTTCGAGCATCTTTGGCATCTCCCTCAGCTGACTTCAAGCAGTGTGTGACCCAAGCTACAAATCTGTATTCTATATATATGACAAATCTATAGCATAAAGGGTTAGGGCACGCAGAGACCGATGCATCAGCAACATCCAAGCGCTCCATGAACTTGTTCAGCTTATCCCTCGAAGTGACGGCCTCGTTCATATGTCGTTGAAGGCTGTCCTTCACCTCAGTAGCAGCAGCTACAGTAGACATTCCAGTATGAACTGTGCAGCCTCTAAAATAAACACAACTGACATCTGCCCTCTACAAAGTTTTCATCTAGGTGCTTTGTCCTTACCGTCTTCAACACCTGGTGCTTGTTCCTCATGATTCCAGCCCTTGTCCAAGTCTTCAGGCTTGCTGGAGTCCGCTAGGCTGTCAACCTTGCCCTTTGCAGATGTAGAGTCCCGAACGCCCTCAACTTCATTGGTGCCCCTGGTTCCATGGGTCCTGGTGTCGACCCAGTACTCCATCTCTTCGTCGTACTTGTTGGTCCTTTGTTGTGAAAGACGAAGCAAGGATTGAATCATTTATCTGCACAGCATCTGAGTTGTAAAGTGAAAGGCCAAGGCACCGCCTAAGGGAAGGGTTTGCATCCGCAAGCGCAATGATTCCAGCGATGCGTTTCCTTAGATCTACATGGACATAGAAGGAAGTAGCAGCTATGGTCGCGATGGAAGTCGTACCCCAGACATGACAATTAATTCTGCTCAAATGACCACCAAGCGGCGCAGAAAACCCCAATCCTCCTTCGGACACCTTCATAGCCATCTCCCTCTCTGAATAGAACCCTCCATCCGTAACCTGCTTGCGAAACTTCTGGGTCTCCTTGTAGAGTTCCACTTTCCGAAGGAAGTCGCCCTTAGCTGTCACGAGCTAGCTGTGAGCCTTAACAATTTTGGTATGTGTCAACCGATACAGAATTTCTCTGTGTAGGCTAGTGACTCTTACCCCATTCGCCTCTGCCATAAGGGAGACAAGGGTGTCACGAGATGCTCCAGCTTTTTTCCACATAGCATGAATATCATCGCTGACCTGTATCTTTCCTGAGGCTGTTTCAGAACAGAAGCGATTCACCTTCGACCGCATGCGGTTCCAGAACTTGGCATCCTCCTCATCAGGGATGTCCTGATGGCCCAGTAGCAGACACAATAGGTGTCAGGGATAGTGTCTGCTTTCTGGCTGTTAAAGGTTTAGAGGGAGTGCTTGCGCTTGCAGGGTGGCAGGCAATGCACCAAAGGGGGGCAGGAGTTTTTGGGGTTTGAGGCAGATGTTTCAGGGGTGCTAGGGCTCAGAGTCTGCATGGGTCTTGGTTGTATTGGGGGTTTGCTTTGCTTCTGCTCCACATCAGGAAGCTATCACTTATGTGCTAAAGGAGAACACTTCTGTATGATTCCTGCACCGTTCAAGCTGAAACAGATCATCCTGAATTCCGTACAATTAAGCCTTCAAGGGTTGTCTAGGAAGAGCTTGAAACCCCAAAGACCAAACCCATACAGAAAATCGGAGACCCTGGAAGTAAACACACCTGAAGCCCCAGTAGCAAAACACAGGTTAGACCTTAAGAGTACCTTAAGCCTCAAAAGCAACAAGAAACCCTACATCGACAACACCAGGCCAAGAATCAACACTTGACGCCCCAGACCCCAAGACCCTAGACCTATAGACCCAAATCTCTAACCTGTCGTACAGCCAAGTGAGCTGCCAGCATTTAGGCCTCAGCTGTGTGTTGTATGCTGCAAACCACTACAACCCTTAACCCTTTATCCCTCACTCGAAAATCAGGCCTTCGGAGACGGCACTCGGGTGGAGCCAGGCTGATCCTTCTTCACTGGGCTGGGATCCTTCTTCGATGGGCTGGGGTCCTTCTTCGATGGGCTGGGGTTCTTCTTGGAGGGGCTAGGGGTTTTGTTCTTGGCATTCGGAGAAGGTGTCTTGGTTGTCAGGCGGCGTCGGGGGCTTCGGTTGCTGCGCTTGGCATCAGGGGTCTTGCAAAGACCAGCAGAAGAAGCTCCCCCACGAAGTTGCTCGATAAGCTTTGCTTGGCTCTGCAACAGCTCAAGCAGCTTCTCACGTTCATCCTTAGTTAAGAAAGATTATTTGATCAAGACAACATAGCAGTCAGGAGAGTCAGCTATAGTAGCTAAAGTGCAACACAGGGGCGGTCTTGCCACGCATTCGGATACAGGGTGGGGACGTCTTTTGAGCTTTAATCTGCGGTGGGTGTCGGGGTGGGCTCCCATGAAGCTCTGGCTTGGCTTGCTCCTGCTCCACAGGTTCCTCGGGCTGCTGCTGGCCTGTGGGGCTAGGTCCCTGGCTAGCCTGCAGCTTCTTCTTCAGGGCCTAGGTGACAACGAATATCCCGTAGCTTTCAGTTAGGCAACTATAAGATTTTTGTACCTATCGAACCTATTTAGGGCTTGGGATCGTGGGGTGTGCAGTTCGAGGGTACTTGATATGTAAGGCCGGGGCTGACATCTGTATATCACTGTCATCATCAGAGATCTCAACACAGCCACCATAGGGATCACAGCGTAGAGGCGAGTCCTGCAGGCAGGCAGGGTCTTTCATTGTGAACTCACACTACAATTACCATGCTCAGCTAGGTCATCTATCCTTCGTAGGGCGGCGGTTCGGCATTGGGCTAGATGTTGAAGTTGATGTCGAGGGGGAGGTGTTGCTTCGCCCCATAGACTGCAACTCGTGGGCGGTTGCAGGAAGAGTGTCATCGCTGTCACCTTGACTACCCACTGCAGGAGCCATCCCTGGCTTCTGCAATTGATTTTCTAGCTCCTGAACACACAGCTGGTTTAGGTATCTGGGATCCCAAGGCTTAGGGATTTAAGGTTAAGGGGTCTTAGATTTGGGTCACCTGAAGCCCTCGGAAGCTTAAGGCCAAGGGACCCTATATTAGTGACCCAAACAGAAATCAAAGATCCTGGATCATCTCCTTCAGTTCTGCATCCGACTGTGGCAGTTCCTGCTTAACCTGTGACAAACCAGTGTTAACTGCGTTAACACCTTCCAGCATGGAGCCTCCACTCCATGCTTTGGAGAGCAATGCCTTCGCAAGCCTGACTGCGACAGGATCCATGGCACCTGGCGCCTACAGCAGGGGCCACAAGCACAGCCCAAAATCCTGGATCAAGGACACAACAAGTCATCATGCCTGGAAGAATGTTTGGATTTGGGACGTTTTGCTATGGCTTTGGGCACTAGGTTGCAGATATGGACTTGAGGACACCTACCCGTACGCTTTTATACGTTTTTGTACGCCTTTTGTACGGGTGCCGTACGGGCAGATATGGGCAAATACGGGCGTGCAGTTGCTAGAAATACGGGCGTGTATGGGTTTATATGGGCGTTCGTTGGGAAATACGGTCGGGATACGGTGCAATATGGTCGAGATACGGTGCAATACGGTCGAGATACGGGTGTGATACAGAGAAATACGGTCGAGATACGGGTTGGTTGCTGTGGTCCAAAACCTACCAAAACCTGCTAAAAACATAAAAAAAACCATCAGTAGCACCGTAAAGTCTTAGCAAGTGCACCCCAAAGCAACCAAAAACCCTTGACAGCCACTGTCTTGCGCAGTCTTGAAGAACAGGTGAAGCCACAAAACCTCTGAAACACACCCCTAGGTCCTATACGCAAACCGAAGAAATCCTCAGCCCTACCGAGTTTCTGCTGTACTCTTCAGACACTGGATAGATTCAACGGTGAAACAGCCTGGATTCATCCTGTCGGAAGCCTCTCCCACACAACACTGCGATGATGCCTGAGTGAATTTAACAAGGGCTTCCCAGTACCTTGCACAACCTGGTTTAGACGATGTAGTGAATCTATAAGTGACAAACAACTAGAAGGGCTTGCTATTGTCTGATCTGAAGTGAATGTAGCTGCAACCACATCGAGGTCACATGGCTACTTGTGATCGGCTGATGATCCAGGCGCAGAGAACACTCAAACCACACATAGTGGAGCTTGCAAGGTTCCATCAGATGGAATCAGATAGGCCTGAACTACCACTGGCTGTACACAGACCCAATCAAAAGTCTCCTCTGATATGCAGTACAAGTACATCCTGTAGGACCAGGGTAGTTTATTTGGGGTGCACGATAAGGTTATTCAACTATAGTGACCCATAAAACCTGCTATATCTACAGTCCTAGCATATTCCTATAATCGAAATAAGGTCCTACCCTGACACCATACATATTACATATAGAAACCCTAAGACCCCGAACGGTTTTGGATTGGGAAGAGCATCCAGGAGTTTGGGGCCAGACCACTTCAGGAGCTAAGCTTTTGAGTTGCTGGGATTGAGAGCATCAGGCTTTGTGTAGGTTCAAGGGTTTGTTCTTTGGGGTGTTTATGGCTGATAACTTACTTGGGGCTGTCAAGGACAGGAGAGGCTTCAGGAGTTCTAAAGGCTGGGACTAGAACTCAGGTTGCTGCTAAATTTCTGCATATTTGATTCCTTAAGAAGTTGGGGCCAGCATTGTTGTGTAATCTGGTTTGAAGGTAGTGTATTGTGGCCTTTCGTAAGACTGCATGAAGGGTAACTTCAGCTTTGGGGTTGCAGGTCTCAGGGTTCCAGCTCTTGTTTGTTTCAAAACTGGGTCTGAAAACCATAGACAAAATACGATCAAGGCATCTGCTGTGCTGAGCTAGAATGGTTGTACTTAGGAAGCAACGGTCGCCATCTCTCTGGTACCTTCAATCCTTGGCAACCATAGAGATAAACAGCGACCTCCTGAAGCGCCCCATCAGAGCACTCATCCTCGTAAGTTGCATTCCGAAACATCTCAAGAGCATCACCTTCCTCCCGAATGTTGCATGCTGCCATGCTGGTCTTGAGAAACTTGAAGATCTCGAGCAGTCTCGTGCCCAGGCCAGCTGGATAGATCCTGAGGAAACATTGGCTGGGCTGGGATCACCCCTGAGTGAAGTAGGGTTGGAGGGTTTAGGGTTCAGGCTTAGGGCCAACTCAGGGCTTTGCATAAAGGTTTTGTAGGAGTTTCGGGGTGGAGGTTCAAGAACTGGGCGTGGAGTATTGGGTGAAGCTGAGGCGTTAAAAGCTTGTGTCGGGCACAGGGTTTAGGCGTTTAAGGCTTAGGGGTCCAGGGTTTAGGCGAAGTGGCTGTGTTTGTTTGAGATCATCTGTGCCGGTCCAGCAGCGTCGTCCGCCAGCATCAGTATAATAGCGAGCTGGTTTGATGTTTTTTTTGGCTTTGTTTTTTTCTTTTCGAAACTCTTTCAGAGAAAAAGATCTGGACCAGAATCCCCTTATCATGGAAGAGCTCGACCATAACGTCGTTCGTTTAGCTGTTGCTGATTTGAACTGGCCCATCCAAAACGAGACCTTGTAGACCTTACTGAAACTTAGATGCAATCACACTTGCCGACATGTATAGCCGCCACAAAGAAGCACCGCTACACACAACTGCACAGTTAAATACACAGCAGCTGAACATATTCATGTGTAAGGCAAGGAGCAGTCAGTCTCTGACACAGCCACCGAAAACGATCGTGCCTCAAAAGTAAACTCGAGCTTGGCTGCTCGATTATAAAATTGCCACCAGTCGCCACAGCCAGCAAACAGATAAAAGCACTCCTAAGTTGCGTGACACATGGAAACTCATATGTGTGTACCTACTATGTTCATGCATGTGACACAAACGAACTTGCACCATCGTATACCTGACATGAATGCCATAGACTCATCCTAGACACCGTGCAGCCATACAGTTCGCCGAGGCCACTGA